AGAAAAAAAAAGAAAAAAGAGGGGAAAGGGGGGGGGCGGGGGTGGGTGATATCAGTGGTACGCTTGTCACGGACAAAGACTCATACGCACACGTGTGAGGCACGTATAGGGAAATAGGTTCATGTCGTAGACGACAGATGTAGTCTGTCGTGCCCGTTGTGTTCTAGTAACCGCAGCAGTGATTGCTGTGGTGCTCTCTCTTCTTCCCAAGGTTGTGTGTTCATCATGAGGAGAAGGACACGGCAGGGCAGGCAGGACAGGGTGAGGGAAGAGACGGAGGGGAGGAAGAGGATGCAAAGGTCAGAGGCGAATACAGCAGCGCAGGGTCAGGAAAAGAGACAAGCAAAAAAGGATGTAACACAGGTGTGTGAGAAAGGATAGGAGAAAACAGTTCCAGGCAATGCAGTGGATATACTATCTTGCTCATCAGTTGGAACGTCTAATGTTGACCCTTCAGCTCACCCAGCCTGACTGAGAAAGCTTCAGCCCCCTGCTCGACGCTCGTCTCACCGCCAGCTCTTGCCCCTAGCAGCACGAACACGCTCTTCCCCTTCCCCGCCATCCCCGCCTCCCCTCCAGCTGCACCACGACCCTCCCCATCACTCGGCATCGCGTCGCTCGAGCACGGACCTGAGCCGTCGGCGCGCCTCAGAAGCACGGGTGTCGGGGATGTTGGGAGGCAGGGCGGCGCCTCGGAGCCGTCGGATGCGTCGGATGTTGTACGAGTTGTCGCTAGCAAGGCTGCTCAGAGCCTCCATCGCGCTATCCTCCAACCACCCGCTGCCCTCATGCCTTTGCATCGCCCTCGCTACGGCCTCGATCGCTCCCGCCTCCCGCGCCCGCGCCTGGCTGTCTGCCATGCCCGCCGTCATGCTGCGCAAGGCCGTGCATCCGTCACACTGTAGCCATCGTTCGTCCACATGTGTGGACATGGCGCTGACAACGGCCTCGATCGCTCCCGCCTCCCGAGCCCGCGCCTGGCTGTCAGCCATGCCCGCCGTCATGCTCTCAAGCGCTTGGCATGCTGACCAATGCAAGCACATCTCGTCTGCGTGCGTGGACATGGCGCTGACGACGGCCTCGATCGCTCCCGCCTCCCGCGCCCGCGCCTGGCTGTCAGCCATGCCCTCTGTCATGCTGCACAAGGCCTTGCATCCATCATTTTGTAGCCATTGCTTGTCTGCGTGCGTGGACATGGCGTTGACGACGGCCTCGATTGCTCCCGCCTGCATGGCCGGGAGCTTGTTCTGCTCGTGGCTCTCGGCTATCGCTGTCAGCACCTCGCATAGTCCTTGCTGTATCTTCGCGTTGCTCTGGTGCCTGGTCATGGCGCTGACGACAGCCTCGATCGCTTTTGCATCTCTCGCTGTGCCCTGGTATCGGAAGTACTGCATTGTGTACTTCAGAGCCCAGCACGCAGCCTGCTGTACTTGCCAGTCGTCCGCATACCTATCGAGGCATCTCATGACGGCCTCGATCGCTCCCGCCTCCCGTGCTCGCGCCTGGTTGTCTTCGATGCGACCGGACGGTATGTCTCAGGG